GGGCCCAAACCCTCCCCCCTCCCCCCAAACCCTAAACCCTAAACCCTAAACCCTAAACCCTACTTCGGAGTCTTTGCCGTAGACGAGGTCGAGTTCGTGTTGGAAGTTTCTGCATTTTGCTTCCAAGTCATTTGGCTTTTTCTTTTTTTCTTCGAGAGCTCTTTCCGCTTTTTGCCGAGCCAGCAGCAGCAAACGCAGCTTGCTCTGCAGCGTCTGCAGGTCCTGCAGCAGCAGCAGCAGCAGCAGCAGCAGCAGCAGCAGCAGCGGGAAGGTGCAGCAGCAGCGGGGGAGGCCAGCAGCTGCGGCAGCAGCAGTGCAGTGCAGCGCGGGGAGGAGCAGGAGTGCAGCAGCAGCAGCAGCAGTGCAGCAGCAGCAGCAGCAGGAGTGCAGCAGCAGCAGCAGCAGCAGCAGGAGTGCAGCAGCAGCAGCAGCAGCAGCAGGAGTGCAGCAGCAGCAGCAGCAGCAGCAGCAGCAGCAGCAGCAGCAACGGCGACTCACCTTGACATCCATCTTGGGCGAACATTCCCGCAGCAGCAAATCCAACAGACGCAGCCACGCAGGGCTCTTCGCCTGCAGCAGCAGCAGCAGCAGCAGCAGCAGCAGCACTGGCAACAGAGAAGGAGTAGTAGACAGCTAGCTAGCTAGCTAGCTGAGTAAACAACTAATTAGCCAGCTAGCTAGCTAACTGACCAAAGAGCTGCCTGGCTAGCTGGCTGGCTAGCTGGCTGGCTAAATAACTGGCTAGCTGGCTAGCTAGCTAGCTATGTAGCTAGCTAGCTAGCTATGTAGCTAGCTAGCTAGCTAGCCGAATAAATAACTAGCTACCTAGCTAGCTAGCCAGGTAGCTATTTGACTAATCAGCTAGCTAGCTAGCTAGCTAGCTGATTAAATAACTGGCTAGCTAGCTAGCTAGCTAGCTAGCTAGCTGGCTAGTTGATTAAATAGCTGGCTAGCTAGCTAGCTAGCTAGCTAGCTGGCTAGCTGCTGCTTACTGGGCTGTCGACAATTTTCTTGGAGAGAGCCTCAGCTAGCCGTTCGCAGTCCTTGAGGGTCTTCAGACTGATGGCTTCCATGGGATCTGCTGCTGCTGCAGCAGCAACAGCAGCAGCAGCAGCAGCAGCAGCAGCAGCAGCAGCACAGGAGCGCAGCACGTCAGGAGCAGCGCAGCAGCTGCAGCGGCGACGCAGCAGCAGCAGCGGGGACGCAGCAACGAAGCAGCAGCAAACGAGCAGCAGCAGCAGCAAACGAGCAGCAGCAAAGCAGCAGCAGCAGCAGCAGCAGCAGCACACTAACTTGCGAGGGTCTTTGCTGCCTTTGCTGCCAGTGCTGCTCGTTGTTTGCTTTCTGCTGCTGCTGCTGCTGTTGCTGCTGCTGCTGCTGCTGCTGCTGTTCTGTCTGGCTGGTCGCAGTCAGCAAAAAGATCAGCCATCAGCCTCTTCTCATTTTCTTCCACTAGCCTGCAGCAAACCCCAAACCCTAAACCCTAAACCCTAAACCCTAAACCCTAAACCCTAAACCCTGGGCCCCTCCTTCGCCTAAACCCTGAACCCTAAACCCTAAACCCTAAACCCTTGACCCTAAGCCCTAGCCCCTTAGGCGCTCCGCAGCAGGGCCCTTGAGCCCCAAACCCTAAACCCTAAACCCTAAACCCTAAACCCTAAACCCTTACCTTTGTGTCCGGAGGCGTTCAGCAATGGGGTCGCTGAGGGGAGTGCTTTCAGCAGCAAACCCCTTGGCTGCTGCTGCTGCAGCTTTTTTTCCTGCTGCTGCTGCTGGTTTTGCTGCTGCTGGTTTTGCTGCTGCTGCTGCGGGGGAATCAGCAGGAGTTGCTGCAGCAGCAGCGCAGCAGCGGCAGCAGCTGAGCGGCCTCTGGCAGCAGCACTTTGGCAATTAGGGTTTTAATTATTTATTTATTTTAATTAATTTAATTAATTTAATTAATTAAATTAAATTAATTATTTCATTATTTCAAATTTATTTTCAAAAGCTTCCTACGCTCTTCGAGCTCATCAAGAAGATCTTCCCACGTCTCTGCGACCGCTGCAGCAACAAAGAGCAGCAGCAAAAGCAGCAGCAGCAGCAGCAACAGCAGCAGCAGCAGCAGCAGCAGCAGCAGCAGCAAAGCGGAATTTAGCTCGAGGCAGCTGCCCGCAGGCAGAGGTGAGGAGACTGGCTAAAAGAACTGAACAGCCAAGGGCAACTGCAGCAGCAGCAGCAGCAGCATGGACAGCAGCAGCAGCAGCAGCTGGCTGGCTTGCCACATGGCGCTGCTGCCAGCAGCAGCAGCAGCAGCAGCAGCAGCAGCAGCAAGGCCCCTGCAAAGCTCTATGCAGTTGCAGCAAACGGCGATGGAAAGGAAGCAACTCACCCATTTTCTCTGCCCGAACACGCGCTCGATGCTGCAGCTCTTGCTGCTGCTGTTGCTGCTGCTGCTGCTGCTGCTGCTGCTGCTGCTGCTGCTGCTGCTGCTGGACTATTTAGGGGTCTCACGCTGGCAGAA